ATTTCCAAATTAGTTGGTCACATATTTTTTACGATCACAGATTATATAATTTTTAGGTCACAGATAAAAAAATGGTTAATTTCATTGGTCACATATTTTCAAATTTGTTGGTCACAGATTATTTTTCAGTCACATATTGTCAAAATTTTTAAGTCACGGTTAAATATTTGGTCACAGATAACCAAATACTTGGTCAAACACCACCACCACCGGATCACACCAAAAAAGAGACATACCACCACCGTCATCACTGCCACAGCCACCATCACTCCTTTCGCCACCAACAAACAACCTGCACGACTATCATCACACCACCACCACCACCCCTCACCACGACAACCACCACTAAAACACAACCATCAATAAACTAAAAACAACACAACCACCAAATGTCGCTGCTACCGACAACACCAATTGCTGTTGTCCAACTCATCTAGGGTTTGTTTGAGCTGGGCATTCGAGCATCGTAGGGCATTGCGCAGCCGCTGCACCTTCGCGACCACCACCATCTGCAAACCACCAACCCANAACTCATCTAGGGCTTGTTTGAGCTGGGCATTCGAGCATCGTAGGGCATTGCGCAGCCGCTGCACCTTCGCGACCACCACCATCTGCAAACCACAAACCTAAAGTCAACTCAACCATCGCCTGCACAACCACCACGTTCACAATCGCCACCATCGCCTGCCTGATGCTACCACCTTGGGAAATCTCGATTTAGGGTTCAAATAAAACTGGGCAGAGTTCTGCGGTCACTCAACCATAGCTTGCACGACCACCACCTTCGCGAGCGCCACCGCCTACACGACGCCACTACCTTGGGGAATCTCGATTTAGGGTTCGAATACTTTTTGGGGAGAGATCTACGGTAGATCTGCAGAGAGAGGGCAGAGGAACGCGAGATATGAAGAGAGGTGAGGGAGTTTTGATTGAGTGATAAATTAGGGTTAGAGCTTATATAGTACCTGATTTTTGAATAATAAAATTTGCTCCCTGATTTTTGAATTTCAATCTTCAAAGACCTAGAACTATGTAGTTTCCTCAAATTAATACTTGATTTTTTGGTCCAATATAAATTTGGGCTTTCTTTTATACAAGTGATGTTGTTGAGATGAGATTTTCTGGTTAAGGGAGGCCCAGACCCAACTGAAATTTGAGGCACCTTTTGTTATAAATGGTTATGAGGAAAAATCATAATTACCATGTTTAAGATTATGCTTGTAAAAAGAGAGAAGCCACAAGTATAGGGCCTGTTTTATAGGCCCCTGCCAGATTACACACATGGGAGGTGGGGGTCACATTTTTTTTAATAAAGTGGGTGGGGCCCGCGGCTACAGTGAGGGGCCTATAACGCCCCTATGAAAAACTGCCCTGTACGTAGGGCATTTCCCTTGTAA